AAAAACAGATCATTCTCTTGAAAGTGGTCTGGGAATAATAATCGGAGATCATTATTCCCCATAGTACCTAATGGGGAGAGATTTCTCATAATGTTTTTGAATTTTACCTTCTTATGTGTATCCTCAGTCTATCAAATAAGAGACAGTAAATGTACTTTGTTTAACATTTAGCTCCTTCCTAGCATGTTCTTGAGAATTATAGAATCTCTAACTATCTGATAGTCTATCAATGACATACATTTAAAGTTTTCTTTATAAGAACCTACAATTTCATATTGATCTTACTTCTACAAAAGTTACATTTCTCTTGAATAGGTGATCTCTTTCTATCATATCAACAGTGTGACTCAGCTCTGTCCTGCTTTGTACACTGGCTCTTCCGGAGTTTAAAGACAAGCCTGGGGTCTCAGATTGTCAAATACATAGGCCTTCTAACCTCACATTGGTCTCATCTTTCTTTCCTACTCTTATGTCCCTTTGCCTCAATTCCCTCTATTTAAATCTATAAAATGTCCTTCTTAAAAATTTTGAGAATTGGTGGTTTAAAACATTTAGTACCCTATGAATGGCTATATACATGAAAAAGATGATTGTATTATTTTATTAATCATGCACTACTACCTGTTTTAACATCAGCAAGTGAGTTTTGATCAGTGATGCAAAAAGAATGTCTAACAAATTGTACTGGCATATTTTATAATCCATTTCTGTTTTCAAGCAGACGATATTACTAGAAGTTTTAATAATTGACAGAAAAGCTATTATATAAACAAAATTTTAGAAACTAAACTTTTTATATCAATCCTTTCAATTAATTAACAATTTGTAGCTTTAAATACATTTTGAATGAAGATGTTGATGAACAAAAAATTCAGTTAACAATATGATTGGGTGAATGAATGCATAACTTATTAAATTACAGGCATTATATAATAATTAATAAACCAGAGACTTTCAGAATAACAATAAAATGGGAATCTGGGAATTAACTGTAAAAAGAAAATCATAGAGAAATTACCTCACTCAAGTTTTAAAATACTGAACCTGAAACTATAAATCTAGATACACATCAGAATCACAAACCCACTGGTGGAGACGGGAAAAAAAATAAAATAAAATAAAGGAAACCTAACTCGGTATTATTTAGTATTATGATGCTATTTCATCTTGGGACTCAGATAAAAAAATTAACATTCTATTTTTAAATATTTAGTGACTTCAGGATACTACATTAACTCTTAACTGAACTAATACAACTTTAGTTGGGAAGATCACACTTATAACATTGATTAAAATTATTTAATTTTTCATAGATGTGAAGGTGATAACGTAATGTTGTGATGTTTATTTATTTATTCATTTTGGTTCTTGTCCATGGCTCATAACTCCCTCCCGTAAGTGGACCATAAAAAAATCTAATCTTCCTCTTCCTTTCTATTTGGAACTGGCCAAAAATAAAATTTCTGACCCATCCTTGTCTGATAGTGGGTCATAAGACCTCCCTCATTCTAGAAGGGTTGTATCCCACACCCATGAGGAAAGAATGTTGCTCAGAGAGGCCAACAAGAATCTGAATAGACAGGACTTGTCAAATTTCCCTGCCCAGACAATTAGCAATCACATCTGTGCAATGAAGTTTCCTTAATCCAAAGGACAAGGCTCATAGCACAGTGAGCAAACGGAAGTTCGTGTAGAGTGGGACACCCAGAATGAAATGGAAACTTCATACCCCTTCTCCTGTACCTTGCCCTTTGCATCTCTTCATCTGTGTCCTTTGAAATGTACTTTATATTAAACTGTTAAACATGTAAGTATTTTCTTCAGTTCTGTGAGCTGCTTGAACAAATTATTCAAACCAAAGAAAGGAACTGTGGAAACTCGAATTTGTACTCTGTCGATCAGAAGCATAGGTAAAACAATCCAGGGCTTATGACTGGCATCTGAAGGGTGTATGGAGGGATGTGTTGGGGACTGAGTCTTCAACCTCTAAGATCTGACACTATCTCCAGGTACAGTTAAAACTGAATTGAATTAGAGGAGACCCAGAACTGCTTGCTTGCAGTTGGGGAGAAATCTCTACACCTTACAGAGTCACAGAAGTTCCTTGTGTTGACTGTGGTTTGACAGCAGAGGAAAAGAGACACCGTTTTTCTAATAATCAAAGACAATGTCATCATGTAATTTTTATACATACAAAATATTATCAAATATATTAACTTATTTTGATATATATTTTGGCTTTTCAAATAATATTAAGGTAGAGAGACCCGCAGGAAACTAACATTTTCTGAGCATCTAAAAGCATTCTTCTAGGTACTTTCACAAATGTTACTCATTTGTAAAAAGCACTAAGTGAAGCTTCACACCAGTTATGATCTCTCAACCACAGCAACTGAATAGCAGCATACAGGAATATTATAGAAACCAGTCTAAGCTAAAACCCACCTCACCTTTAAGAAAGGGCAAAAGGAAGGAAAGCGGGGAGGGAAGAATACAAAACCATATCAAGGTTTTAAAAACAAATGTCACACACTTGACACACAGATATCCATGCCATCAACTTCAATTGGAGTTTCATATTTAAGAAAAGGCATTGATAAGCAGAGGGCTCATAAGTACTATAAGAAACATATTACAATGCCACAAACAGGGCAGATATTCAATAAAATAATTTTAACTTTTGTGTTATCTTTGTTATTGTTAATGTCTTAACCTAGTACTAGTAAAATTCAGTCAATAGGTAGAATAGCCATCAACCTGTAACACTTTTGAGATCCTTTCCAATTTTAGTGTTCTCTGAAGTCCTCCATAATTTCTTGTCTAACATTTAGCATAAGCTATAAACTTATTTGTTCATCATCCTTCTATATCTATGGGCTGACTCTCAAATGTATGGGCCTGTGTGGCTTTTATCTTCACAGCCTTAATAACATTTAACACAGTATTTGTTATAAATCTGATCTTTTGTAAGCTTATGTCCTATCAACTATGTTGTGGTAAAAGGATTACATGCTTTTGTTTAAAACTTTCTTGACTCCTCATTACCTACCAAGTAGCAATCAACTCTTTTGTATGAAATTTGAAGTTCTACATTTGGGCACTATACTTAGACTCCCATCCTCCACCAACCTTCCAGCCACCCTACCACACAGCATTTCCTGAACTGACTGTACATTTTTGTGCCTCTACACATTTGCTGGTCTGGTTCTCTCTGCAGTCCAAGAAGACATACTCCCATCTACTCTGCATAACCCACCTCAACAAACTCTACTCTGAAGCTTTCCCAGAACCCACCACACTCCTGCCACAGCCATCACCCCAATTCCCTCAGAGGATACATCCCTTTTTCCATTTGGCAACTGCTTTTATGAAAGCATTTTTCACAGATATTATTATTTGCTGCCTTCTCCTCTGTGAAACTTTCTCAGATTCCCATATGCCGAGTTAGGCACTCCATTTATTGCCCAGCTCAGTTCCTGGCAGGTACTCTACTCCAGCATATAACCAGAACCCAAAGTCATCTTTGGGACTCCAGGAACTGAGGATGCTGCTTGGGGAAGAGGCAGGCTCGCAACCAAGGGGAACAACAGGCCCTTCAAACACTGAGCCATTGACTCATGTTAACCCCAGAAAACTTATTTACATAGCAGTAGCTGCTGCTACAAGAAACACTCTGTTAACATTCAGTGAGATCAGCCCTAATCCAGCTGTTCCTCATCACCTCCACTAAGTGATAGACAAATGCACATTTCCAATTAGACACTTCTTTAGGAACAATAGAATGTGAAAATAACAGCTCTATGTATTCTTAAAAATCAATCACACAATAAATTTAATATATATAATGTTTTAAACAAGAAGAACATAATCCAGATTATGCAACACATTAAAAATTAACTGTATTCTAATTTATCAATCTTATCATAAGAAAATGTGCATCTGTACACATACATGCTATAATATAATTTTTTAAAAATCTGTATTTATGTTTTAACTGTTAGGTGGCATAAGTTAGAAACTGCAAAATGAAGAGACTAAGATATAAAGGTCTACTGCAAATATAGAAAAATATATGGGAAGGTTTATGGAGTACAATCAATTCCGCAAATACTTGCTGAAGTACCAGGAAATACACAAGACAGAAAGTGGTACCATATAATGTCACTGTTCTCAGGAAACTTACCATCTGCAACAAAACTTTATACTAAAAAGCAACTAGCAAAAGTAAGTAAGGATATTAATGAACTTGTTATGAAAAGAAAATGTTAAGCAACCACGAGTAATAGGTGGTCCTGTTTTCTACAAAAACAATTATCTTGAACAGATTTAAATATGGCTTCTACTGCCTATATGGAGGTAAAAAATTTTTTTAACAAAAGGTGTCTCAGGCTATGAACATTTTGAGATCCACACACTTAAAAAACATGTTACTACCTTTAACACTAAAATAATCTTAATTTCATAGCATGTCAATGCTACACAAAATATATGTAATACTTAGAGTTACACTTTACATATTTAATACTGTTTTAAAAAGTTTATTATTTTCTCAAAGGAAAACACCTATATTAACAGGATATAATATAAATATTGGCCATTATATTAAAAATAAAATTCACTGGTGAAAAGGTAACATAATATTTCTGTTGGCTGAAAGTACAGCTTCTTCCCTAAGTCAGAAACTTCCTAAATCCTATTTTGTAATGTAATAAAACCCTGAGTAACTGATGGAAGAATACAGACACATCTAGGCATGCATCTCTTATTCATCTTTTATCTTATGAACAAGATGTCTTCATGACCCGATTTCACATAGCTGGTTCTACTATATTTGCATTTTTGCCTAAAAGCTACCTAAATAATTTTAGAAGGTAAGCAGATATTAACTAATACTTGGCCTTCTAAGAGGCAAGACCTCCAATTAATCTCTGTAAACAATCTACTAAGATTATTTGTTATTGAAAATTACTTATTTTACATGCTGCTGAAGGCATCTTTACCTGCAGATAGCTGGAAAACATTCTTGAAGACCTTTCTTTTTAACTAAAGATCCTTCCAGGCAGTACATAATGATGTCCATAACCTTTGGAGGAAAAGGAATGAATGAAAAATTAATTTTAAATGCTTAATTTTCAAAAAGTTAAATGATTACATTAGGCTTCATTTGCCCATGAAAATTCTAGATAGTTTGATTTTAATAGTTAAAACAAAACCAAAAGTAGTTATTTTTAAACATTTGTATACTACAGGCTATCCTTTGTCTTACTTGTGATAAAAATTTAATGACAGTGAAGTAAACAGAATAGACTTGTTAACTTTGAATCTACTCATGTTTATGTAAAAGACATATAGCTTTCATTCAAGCACATTATACAACTTGTTTTAATAATGTCAAGGAGAATTTCTATAACCTTTAAAAAATACTCTAATATAGACCAATTCAATGTGAATGGGAAAAGGACATGGCACTCATTTTGGTTTTTGAGGAAATTTAATTAAAGCCTCTAGAAATGTCACAAAAGTTAATTCATTTTAGTTATCTCTTTCTTGCTTGCTTTCACTCTCTTACCTTCTTTCCCTTCTTTTCTCTCTTTATCTTAGAGATTCTGGAAACTAAGGTACCAATTTATATTAATACCCTGGAATATTTAATTTAGGATATTGACATATCATTAAACAAGACAGTTCTTACCTCCACAAGAAGATCCACAACATCTGTAGGCATCTTTTCGATGAGAATTTCAATGACTCTCAGGATTTCCCCTTTAGCTCGTGCAAGGGTTGTAGTGTGCATATTCTGCTGTGATTGGGTATTTGCTGCAAGAGCTGTATGTCGGTGTACCTATAAAAATATTTCCATGCTGTAGATATAACTGCCACTTAATATAATTTTACATTTTTGAGTTATTTTTCACTTACTAATTCTACAGAAAAAAAATGAGCACAAAAGCAAATCATGGGGTGGTTCAGGAAATACTTTGGATCACCCCCCCAAAATCAGATAACAACTCAATAAATATTGTCTAAAAATTCAATATATTCTTGGGTATTATTTGAGATCTTAATATAATATTACCATGACATTTAAGAAAAGAAACATATTGAAGATTGAAGATTTATGGATTCAGTATATTTGGTACTGAAGTATATAGTGTGGTTAGGAAACACCCAGAAGGAGATATGATCCTTGATCTCAAGAATTAATGGTAAATAATATTTATATAACATTGTGTTCCAGAGACTATTTTAAGCGCTTTATCATCAAATTAGGAAATCAAAATGAACAAAGCAAATAACAAATCCAAGTGTGATTTTTCCCATACAAATTGTAAGTTTTCCAGTTCAGAGGAGACAGAATATTAACAGGTCCTGGACTAGCCATGGAGCAGTGGACACAGGGAAAGGATAGGAAACAGTGGCAACAATGAGAAATATGTTAGTATTTTACTTGAATAATTTATGATTAAAAAGTAAATTGGAAAACTTGGTTTTAAAAGATAATACAGGCTGTTACATCAAAATATTTTAAAATACCTTTCTAACCAAAAGCTAAAGGAGAGAGAATCCAAAGCATGGGTGTTCTAACAGTTCAATTAACAAGACTCATAAGTAAATGGTACAAATTAAGTTTGAAATCACAATTAATATAAGAACCTGTTAGATTAATATGACCCTTATTCAGTATAGTCAATATAACTACCTTTGTGTACTCCATGAATGGGAAAAATTGGTAAAGAATTTTCAACACTTATAAAACTGTTTATTTGGGCTGGGGTTATAGCACAGTGGTAGAGTGCTTGCCTAGCATGTGTGAGGCACTGGGTTCAATTCTTAGCATCATATATAAATAAATATAAAAATAAAATAAAGGTCCACTAACAACTAAAAAAATTTTTAAACTGTTTATTTATATATACATACATTATAATATTTTGTTCCAAATATATATGTATGTATAATTTAAATGTAGTGGAACCTTACATAAGACCATACACTTTTAGAAAGATATACATCTAGTCCTAAATTTATTTTTGATGTAAATCTACAGTTCCACTGCCTCATAATCAACTATACAAATTGCTATTAGAACCTTCTTTCCTCCCTTCTAGCTACCTTTACATCAGAAATACTTACAGCATGCCTATTAAGGATGGCTGTGGGGCAGACACAGGCCCAATAGGTTTCAGGTTATCAGAATAGACTCAGAAGTATTTATTCCATAATTTAAAAATTCATCATAGCTACAGGAAAAACAACTCAGACAGAGCCCATGCCCTATGGACACCCCGTCTGCACATTATTCATGTGGAAATGGAACAAACCTTTAAAAAAAAAAATTTAGGGTCTTATCATCCTTTCTCTTTTCTCCCCATCACCAAGACCTATAAGAAAGATCCTATAATTGGTTCATTGTTCTTTACTAGTTTTTCAGTTAGATGTGGGCAATTAGTTAGAACACTAAGAATGTGGGAATCAATTGGCATTCAAGTCTTTATCTGTGACATGTAATAGGAAAAACAATTAGCACGTTTATGACTTACATTTTTTGTTTACAGTTGGAGAACCAGTGCTAAATAAGAAGTTTACTTTGATTACAAGTAGGTACTTACACTTGAAAAATGTGAATACCTTTAATAGGCTTTAATTTGCATACCCCTGCTATATTTCAGATTGAAAAACTATTGTCAAATATTTGCAAGTGAATTAGCTTTGAGAACAGAAGTGAATACCACAGCACAAGTAATGAATGCACAGCTGTGGAATTCAGAGTGCATGCACAAACACGAATATATTCATGTCAGTACTAAATCATTAACTTGCTTTGTTTTAGAACAAGTTGGAAGGATCATTTGTGGGTATGAACCCTCAGTTTACAGTGTCAGATAATTCTTTTAAATGGGAAACTGCAGCACACTGTGGAGTCCCCTCACCTCTTTGGCTATAGTGGTGATGAAGGCGGGTGGTCTGGCAGTGGCAATGAGAGAGAGGGCATGCCTTGCGGAGCGGGCGGAGTCAGCTGCAGGGCTCAGAGGCAGCCCCATTGTGATGCTAAACAGGGATCAGAAAAAAGGAAAAAAGAAAAGAAGCATTAGAAATATAGAGTGAAAAGATTAGACACAGCTTATAATGTCAGTTCAAGGTCAATGGGAGCACTCAAACAGTTAGAATATAATGGACTTGCAACAATGAGCAGTGATTAGGAGTCAGGGTGTTCTGGCATCAAATACAAAATCGAATAATTAACCGTGAAGATTGAAAACAGTATGCGCATCTGTCCAAAGTGTTAAAAATGCCTTGTTAACAAATTATCAAGAACTAGTACTGAATACATATCACAAAGCTCAGAAAAACGCAAGAATGAATATCATGCTGGGTATTTTCAAATTTTGGCCTAAAAAAATTAAAGGTAATAATTTATTTATAAGTTCACCTTAAAAGACTATTTTAGGCTGTGTGTGTGTGACAGGAAGCAGAATTCATTCTTATTTATTTATTTATTTAGTTTTCTTTTTTTGGTTGCTCATGACAATACAATGATCTTGACATATCATACATTTGATTCAAATGGGGTATGAATTCTTAATTTTCCACGCATACAGGTTGCAGGATCACATTGGTTATACGGCCACGTATATACATACAGCAATACTAGAATTCATTCTTAATCTAGAAAATTATCAGAAGAACTGAGAATGACAAAATTGCTTTTAGTTTGTATTTTATTCTTAGTTTGAAATAGCCTCAGTACTACTATTTACCCCACACTTAGTACTTTTAGAACTAGTCTACTAATTGGCATGCTCTACTGACAGTTTATTTAGTATTGATATAAAATTAAATTAACTAATACTGGTTCTCCTTATATAAAGAACAGGTGACAGGACATATAAAACTATGTACTCAATGAAATAAACCCTTCCAAACTGAGAGTACAAAGGTCCTGGTGGATAGGGTGCTATATTCATTTCCCACCTGACACATAATAATGATAGTCTTACTTCCAATTGTACTTTATATTACATATAAACCACTGTGAAAAGTATTAAGACCTTAAATTAAAATGTGGCATGTGATCTGCATATTAACTTCTTCGTACAAATAGTTTTGTTAAAATGGAGCCTGTTATAGTTTTCTAATTAAGTAGTTTTCATATTTAAATATTCATATGAAGATACATTAAGATTTATCCTACTCCAATTATATATGTCTTTGTGGTTCATGTGTAAATTGGATTATGTTTACTAAAAATTCTCAGAAATTTCACAGGTATCCTTGTATTTGAACTTTTAGTTGTAAATAAAGATGACATAGGCATTCTTGTCACCATTAAAGGAGCTAAATTGATCCTGAAAAATTCTGCTTACAATTTTTTTGTAACTTTTATACAGCTTAAATCTTTGATAATATATAACTGTCTTTCATCTTTTTTCCAAAATGAGGATAAATGCAAAGCAGGAACTCAGAGGGGAGTATTTCTTTGATGTTTACAAATACATCACATTTACAAATGTGAGCTAAGAAAACACACACACACACACACACACACACACACACACACACTGAATAACAAACAAATGGGATATAGTTTCTCCCTCAAAAGCTTGTGCCCTTGGGTCCCAGCAGCAGCTGGAAAGAAGTGTTCAGCAGGATGAGCAGTTATCTAGTTCCCTTTTTGGATTAAACTTCACTATTGAAAATTCAGAAAAGGAAATGTGCACTATGTGAGTAGTGCTTGGGCTGAATTGCTTAATAATTATTGTAAAATTTAGATTATATACCATATTTTAGGTTGTTTTTAAAAACAAAATAACTAAACTTTTTAGTTATCCTATGATGTTTCCTTTCTTTAATCAATTTGGGTGAATATGGGTTGATTACATTGAAAGGCTGGGACAAACCAATTTTTATTTCAGTTGAATAACTCTGAACAAATCCAAATAAAATTTTTCAAGATTAAAAAAATCACAGAATGTTGGAGTTGGACCCAGGGTCTAGGATTGAAACCAGTCTTCCTTGTGCTATTTCATGTTCTTTTGTAGTTGTCCTACAATATCTCTAGGAGGTAGCTGATAAAGTCATTTCACAAATGAAGAATCAGGTCCACATAAGTTAAATTTGAAACCAAGGCAGCAGTACACTGTGTTCCCCACCTATCTATTATTTTGTATTCCCTTTCCAAAATATAAAATGGAAAATTCCAAAAGTAATTAAAGAGTTTTAAATTGCATGACATTCTGAATAGCATGATGAAATTTCATACTTTCCTGTTAAATCTTGCCCATGGTGTGAATTATCCCTCTCTCCTGAGCATCCATGCAATATATGCTACCTACCCACTGGTAGTCATGTTGGTTATCAGAGGGTCGTCATATAGCAGTGCTTATGTTCAGATAACCCTTTCATAATAGGTGAATTCTATGTCACAGTACCTACATCATTCACCTCACTTCATCTTTTCACATAGGCACTGAATTGGCTCACATTATAAGAAGAGTACAGTTCAAAAAGACATTTTGAGAGACCACATTCACATAACTTTTATTTTAGTATACTATTATAATTCTTCTATTTTATTATCAGTTATTGCTTTTAATCTCACTGTGCCTAATTTATAATTTATCACAGGTATGTATATATAAAAAAAACAGCATGTACAGGGTTTGGTACCACCCTTTAGGCATTCACTAGGGGACTTGGAACATATCCCTTGCAGATAAGGGGGAATTAATGTAATGTCTTTGAGCATAGCTGACCTTTGGAGGGGCCTGATGATACTATGGTTGATTGGATTGATGAATTGGTAACATGACTGAACTCAGCAGCTTTAGATGAATGGTTAAATTGCATCCCTGAGAGGAGTCTAGTGATATGTTAATACTTGGACGTCAGCTGTTTTGTTCAATATCAACAGTGGTTTGAATGAAGATACAGGATATACTCTTATCAACTGGCATGGACATAAAGTTGTAATGGAGAACAATCATATTAAGTAACCGAACTGGGATACAAAAAGTCCTCAAAAAGATCAACTTTAGTTGAATAATAAATCTTATGTGAGGATAAATACACACTATTCTGAGCTTGTGAACTGCTGAGCATTGTAACTAAACATAAATATGTCTGTTCGTGATATGGCTGCCAACAGGGTTAGTTTATATGGAGGGATATAATTCTGGGGAATGGGTTATTCCTGCTGTGTACTTCATAGCCTGTCTATCCTCCTCTAGCTCCCTAGGTGCTAAGAGAAAGGGGTGGCTTCTGAAAGATAAGAGCTATAGAATACCTGTGGAGTCCAGAGAAGTCCCCAAGCTGTATAGCTAAAAACCAGAGTTTTAGGCACTTAAAAGAGAATCCTAGCACACTTACCACCCATTACTAAGTCCTCACTTCCACTGTTTCTCTGTTCTCTGCATGGAGAACAAATGTTTAGTGGAAAGGGGAGACACGGAGAGAGGGAAGAAGGGGCAGAGACAGTAAGCAAAGGAGAGCCTATATCATATAAACAACAGATGCTTCTTCTGAGCAAAGAGGTCCCACACACAGAGGGAAAGAAAAATGAGTCAACCAACAATAGGTCACTGGCTTCAATTTAAAGGCCTAGCCACATACTGCCTTCTCCTATCCTCCTATCTCCTATCCTCCTGAAAAAGACCTTTGAATTGGGGGAATCAGTATTCTCCTTATATCAAAAACAAAACAAAACGTGGCAAAGTTCACCATGGAGTGGCAGGATCTGGATGATAAGCTGTAGGGCAAGGTAGAAGGAAGGGAACCAAAGTCATGTAGACACTTCCTTGTCAGCACCTGGCCACCTGAGCACAGGATCACAGAATGTGAACAGATCTACTGCAATGATGTCAGGGTTCTGCAGTCACCTTGAGGGCACCCTCAGTGCAAAGTGGGAGGGCTGTGAGTGTGAGAGCGGATAGGCTGCCAAGGCCCAGGGGAGGAAGGAAGAGAAAGCTGACTCTCTCCCCTACTCAACAGAGCATCAACTTTATTTAATGGTTACCCTGCTTTAAAAATCTCCAGTTGCTTCCCATCCGTCTAAGAAAAATCTTAACTCCTTGGCTTGAATTTTGAAAAACCCTAAACTCCCAGGCCCTTCAAAATCTAGTTTCACTAATTTTCAACTCAGTCTTCTCAACATCAGGCTACTGTATTTCAAAGTTGTTCCTGAAAATTCTGTTCTTTTACTTACTCCAGGATTTTGCTAACACTGCTCCTCTGCCCGCTCCTACTGGCACACTCTTCTCCCTCCCCTTTGATCAATTCCTGTCTTCCCCACATGGTATTCCTCAATTGCTTCAGCATTCTGTGACCTTCTATTGAAACAAACAACAACAAAGCCCATTCATTAGGGGCCCTTAATACACAGAATCCCATTCTGCCGGGCCTTAGAAATTAGTTTTGTTCTATGAACTCTGTGCAGATTGTGAGCATGCCTTCTAATCCTGTGTATCCCCCCAAAGTGCCTAGTACAGCCCTTGGACACAGCGGAAGCTCAATAGTTATGCACTAAATGACACCAGCTGGCAAATTCAGCAGGAGAAAAGGAAATCGCTTAAGCCAGTTATTGGACTGGATTGACCAGGCAATGAAGTCAAAGTAATTGATCTGGTGGTCCCAACAGACAAAGTCTAATTCTACACGTAGTCATCTTTGAAGTCAAGTCTGCACTGTGTGTGTGCTCTATTTTAATGTGGGATTCTACCTGAGTGAAGAACGGTCAGAGGATGAGAGGCTGGAAAGGGAAGGGGCTTTCTGTCTGGTTCTGGAATCTATGTGAACAGGGAGCACACACTTTGTTTCTGATCCTGCTTATGTGGCTGTTACACAGATCATTTGTTTTGTAGCCTTATGGGATGGGCCTTTAGTTTCAGTCTTTATTCTTAAAAAATTGGACATGACAGACTATATTTTGCTCAGCATTTCAGTGTACACATCCAATATGAAATATCAGAGATGATAGATATTATAAATAAAAAACATGAATAGAAAAGGAGTCCACTCAAGCTGTGCTCACTCTTTCACCTGACTGCTCATTA